ATGGTGTATTTAGATTTATAATTTAACTTAACTTTAGGCTGAGACCAGTTAAATTAAGTAATAATAGTTGAAATAAATAAAAATCTTAAGTGAGAAAATTGAGATATTTAATAAAGAAGATATTATAAGACTTAATAAAAAAAAAGTTATAATATGAATATAAAAGTTTAGAACAATAATTTAACGTGGGACAATAATATATACCTGTTTTATGAAAGATAATACGTATACTCCTAGTCTAGGTTATTATTGGACATGTTAAATTAGGGCACTATATAACAATGAAATTGTTAATCATATAGTTTTTATAAAATAATTTTGCCAATAACGTCATTCTACACTTTACTTATAAACATTTTAAATTACAAAGTTGTTGATGCAAGGATCACAGTGTCTGAAACTTGATTTGTGAAAGATACATTGATTAAAAGTCAGAAACTTACATAATAACAAATATGAAGTTGTTGATATAGTCTTTATCCGTGATGTAAGTTGATGAATTCGATTGATGTTTCATGAGATGTTTTCCATTCACCCAAATGCATATTACTCATTAATCGATACATAGGTCCCACAAATGCTTCCATCAATTAAATTAATTAATTTAAATTAAATATACAACTAAATAAATTTATATGCTAATGTAGGTTATACAGCTAATTAATAATTAATTTAGGTAGCTTTAAAATTCCACCAAACACAACATCTACATTTAAAAAAATGTAATGTATAATTTATTAAAAAATTTCAGAAACAGAAATATAGTTTCAAGAAAATGTGTCTCATGGGTCATTTTCAGTACAATGACATCTCCATTTCTATTTCTCTGTAAATCATTGCAATAGAAATTATAGAATAGATTGAAATTCAATCACATCATTCTATTAAAGATGAAATGGCGCTACGTGCTAGCAAAATGGACCTTTCTTTAGCCCTTGCATTTGCATTTCAAAACAAAGTAACACAAAAGACAACGAAACGTTGGTTGTCAAAAACCATGTGATTAGCGTCCAGAGCTACCGAGTAATACTAGAAATTGTATTTATTACCATATTATTAAAAATATGATTTCATAAAAGTATAATTATTTTAAAATAATATATTAAATGTTGAAAATTTTATATAAATTCGCAGAAATTTTAAAATTTTATATATAATAAAAAATTAAATAAAAATTTGTATCTATAAAATTTAGAATATAATTAATTTAAAAAGTAGAAAAATAAAACTATTACAATAAAAAAAATCTATTTTATACATTATTTTCAAATAATTTTAATTTTTAAAAATAAGCAAAAAATAATTTCACTGATGTTTCACTTTATATTAATATTAGAACATAATAGATGATTAATTAAACTACAAACTCAATTACAGTCCATGTTCAAGGTAGTCGTAAGCTTTTAATATTTTAAAAAAATTATAACTATTATAATATAATGTTCTTATTTTTATTTTTATTATTATTATTATCTTTATATGCCATTAATTAACTTTATTATTAGGAGAATCATCCTTCGCCATAATTAGAATTGTTAATATTATTCTCGTTATCACTTTTATCACTAAACATAAAATTAAATTTTATAAGATAAATATTTAACCTAATTGTTAAATTTAAAGCTTAAACTTAACTTATCTATTTTTTTAAAAAAATATGAGTTGATAACTTATAAAAGAAATTTAATTAATTTTACTTTTTTATTTTTATCTTTTGAAAGTACTTATTAAAAAATTTGTTCAAATTAAATTATGGGAGAAAATGAAAAAGTAATTCATAGAAAAAAAATTAACAAGGGAAGGTAATTAATTGGAAAGGGATTGAAAAATAGTGACTAACAATTTTTTTAAAATTAAACAATGTTACTTTTATTCAATTTAAAGTGTATTGTATTTCTTAATTAAAATTAAAAGTGATATATATATATATATATATATATATATATATATATAATTTCAATTAATATATAAGACCATTATTCTTAAATTTGTAATTCTTAAAGTTATAATCTTCAAAAAATAAAGATGAAAGATCTATACAATTTCTATTATACTTTAATATGAATAGTCTTTATAAACTTATTTCAGAACATCCTTTGTAAAATTTAAATTATGCCTCAATCAAAACTTAGACAAGTTGTTAGAATATTAATTAATAAGATTAACCAGATGATTATTAAGGATCTGATCAGAAATCAAATTTGGATTCTCTTATAATTAATCTTGTAATGACTTTTTTGTATTTGAACATAGAAAGGTTTGATCGAACCTTATTATCAATAATTTTTAATCTATGATATATTTTCAGAAGAAAAGAACCTAAGTTTCAATAGTTATATGGCATATAACATTTATGGATGAAATATGGATGACAAAATTAAGTATAATATTATGAACATGCCTCAACATGTAATCATCGTTATATTGTCTATCAAAAAGCTTACGAAGAATAAGAATTCTATATATCTATCTTTCGAGAAAGATAAATTTTCAACAAATGTTATATTAAGGTAAAAACTAATTAAAGTATTAACAAACAGTAATTTAATATTAATAAATATAGTTCTATTGTAAAAGTTCCTTTTTCTAGAGAAATATATTTTTATTCAAAAACTAGAGAAAAACTTAGTAAGAATATCTCATACCCTCCCTTTATATATTTATTATGTTTTAATTAAACTAGATTTAAAGGTTTAGATAAAGTTAGATTTTGCGATCAATCAAATTGTTGTTACAAGTCTCATTCGTTTTAATATCTAATTCACATTTAAAAAGAAAAAATAAATCAAAACAATATAGATGAGATAGGAAAAATGGTGCTTTTCTAAATATATTTTACTTCATTTTCAAGCGAAGAAACAAATCAAAACATAGAAGAACATCAGTTCTTTTCTTATCTAGATCATCAATAATGATAGTCGAGCCAAAAGAGAGTAATTAGTTGAGAAGAAATAATATATTGCTAAATAGTATGAAAACATTTATTAGCATACAACAGAGTTTAGAGGTTAAATACGACAACAATTTATTGCATTGACAATCATGAAAGATTTCCTTTCTCCTGTGAAAAATTCAAATACAGAATCGCAGTTTCCATCCATTTTATTTTTCCTTTTCTTTGTTGACACTTTTTTCGTTAAATTGAAGTGTAACTTTTAAATACTAAAACAAATCTAATAACCTAGTTGTTACTAATAGCTTTCTTAGTTTATCGTTAGTCAATATGAATATTTTGTCAATAGTTACTAATTGCTACTGTATATTGACTTGTTCTCACCACCCAAATCCGCACGACTCTCTCCTCTCTTGGTCACCTCTTATTATAGAATTATCTATCTATCTATATATCACTTTCATCATGTAAAATGCTCGAAATATTCTTCATAATACAAAATTCAATTGAAAAAGCATTAATGTCGTTTTTCATGATGGAAAAGAAACCCACTTCCCATTATCAAACACACATTCAATGAACAACATTATCCTTCTGTATCTACAATTTATAATAACATTTTTAAAAATTTACAGAAAATTTTATTTAAGATAAAATCATTATAAATGTGACAAAGAGTTTACATCCATTTTGTTTTCCTCTTCTTCGTTCTTAAATAGATATATAAAAAGTCGACAATTAATGATAGATAGTCAATATCTAGCTATAACTCCAGAAATAACTGATGATATGGATAGGAAGATTATTTTGGATATTTATAAACCGATCTAATACAACACGAATTGTAAAAATTTAATTGATAAAAAAATAAAATTAAAAAATTTAAATCTTTTTATTACATTGCATTCAATTTTAAATCTAATTTTAAAAATAATCACAACTAAATTGAACTATAGTGTGTGTAATTTTATTTAATAAATTAACTACTTACTCATACTTAATTACTTATATAATTATATATTTATGACAATTTTCGTACTTAATTCTATTTTCACGATTTTACTCTTAAAATTATTTATTTATTTTTTTAGAGATAATTTATTAATTTAATGCGTTTATCAGTATTAAATTTAAATTCTTTTTCACCTCATTTTGACTTTATAAATACAAGATTTTACATAAAAATGTTATAAAAGATATGTAAAATCATATTTATCGTCTTCTAACAAAATAAAACATAAAATATTAACAATCTAACCTAATTAAATTCTTTTAAATTGGATCAAATTGAACTGATTTAAAATTCGATTTAAATCAATTTAAAATGATTTATATTATATTTTATGATCGGATTAGATAACTTTTTTAATTAAAAAATAGATTTAAATTAAAACTTGTATTTCTCCAATGACTTTATCTGACGATGTATTGTTTTCATTGTTTTGAAACAAGCTCGAGTGAAGTATTGATTTTCAAAGTACGTTTGGTTGCAATTTTCTTTTGACGAAATGTACACTAATTAAAACACATAATAGCAGTTGATTTATTAAATATTAAATTTAGACAAGCAGTGCAACAGACGTAAGAAAAGTAACTAGTTGCATAAATTTTGAATGGTAGTAACTTGCCCAACACATTTGATCTTAGTTAAATGGAGTGTTTGCATGCAAATATGCTAATTATTTTGTTAAACCCCTTCTTCTTCATCGCTGGCTAATTGACTATTGTTTTATGAAAATAAAAGAGAAGCTTAAAAATGGGATGCCCCGATGATTGAGTTGAATTAGGGAGACAGAGAATAAAAAAGAAAAAAAGAAAAGCAAAGGAATAGACCACTCACAGGCATTAAACCGAATAGCATTATTGTGTGTTTCCTGTTTTCGAGGGAATGAAAATACTGAAGCAGTAGCAATGGATTCGGTAAAAGGCATTGATCATTGAGTCGGAATCAGAAACAGAGGTGAGGCAGCACAAACAAAACGAGTAATAATAGGAGTGAACCAGGGGTTCCTATTTTTAACCGCGTTCTGTGAAATCTTAACTGCAAGGGATCTTAATTTGTACACGCACAATAATTAGTCAAAGGACGACCGTACCCACCTCGGTAACAGTAAATTTTCAATTTTTCTAATTAAAATTCCAGTGAGTTTGACATAAAGGAAGAGGAATATAATTGGAGTAGCTACTCCTAGCTCCACTCCCTATTTAACAGTGACGAGAGAGTCGCACAGTAAGTTTCATATGACACGCCGCACTCAACCCCCTCTCTTTTTCACTCCCCAAAACGATCATGATATCCACCTGCACCGCCTCCGAAATTAACACCACCTTTTTTGTATTTTCCCTAAAAATAAAACGCCCTCGTCTTATGCCCCTCTCAATATCATCATCACAATTATACTAAATATGATTATTTACTTCGGAACCACCGGTTATCGTGTCGGGTTCTGGTTCTGTTTCTGTTTCTGGATTGTGCATGATGCAAATGCATCCACCTTTGCTCTAAACCCACAGCTCTAAGAAATGCCCGTTGCAGGCACTCTTCAACAACAGCGACATTTGCGCGCGTCCTACGTGTCAGCTTTTGCCGCACACCTGTTGCTTTCTGCCTCCACTTCGTTGACTCCACGCGCGTAGGGATGTGCGTGTCCACGCGCACCTTTATCGCTTCCTATCGGGGTTACCTAGTTTCTGTATTGGGAAACTGTCCAGTAGATGCATCGCGGGTCCCCCCATTCTCACCCTTTTCTTTTTCCGTTTTCACCTTCCACAGCTCCGAATGCGCCACCCAACTCCACCACCTTATCTATGTTCATTTTTCATCGTTCCATAAACAACTCGAGAACCTAACTCTCATAAACTTCGATTTTGATTTTTGGTCAAGGAAATTGTGCCTTATGGAATACATCGTTTTGTATATTATGAAATTCAAATTAAATATTTTTTATTCGTTCCTTAGACACTCGACTGAAAACGTTATTAGATTATTTTTTATCCCTTCAAACTTTACTGGATAGGAAAAAATAGAAAAAATTTGGGATCAAAATAAAACTTTTTTTATATATGAAAAATGAATTTTACTTTTCTATGTAAATGGGCTAAGACTAGAGAGAGTTTTCTCCAAAGTTAGGACATGTTAACATGAACGCTAGCAGTCTTGAAGGATTTACATATGGGACAAGTGTGCAGAGTAGACCCACACCCGGTACACACACACAAATGTCTACACGGCAAAATCAGCACACAAGACTCTACTTTCATACAGTTCCTGCATAGCCTGCTGATCCCGTTGTTCGCCATTTTCGTCCTAGTACAACCATCATCTTCATATTCATCCTTATCCTTCACCCCTGCGCATCCTGCTAACTTGCGCCACACCTCTTTCTCATTATCCCCAGTGCTGCCGCAACAAGACTGTGCGTCGTCCATCACTACGGCGGGGCACACGGTGACCCCCTCGTCGTCGATGACTCCGCCGCGCTGCGCCAACACTTGCTCCAGATTGGTGCGCAAGGCATTGGCGGTGGCTTCGTTAGATTGCGCTAAATCACGCCATATCTGATTCTCTATGCACAGAGCCTTCACTCTTTCTTCCAAAGCCCAATTTAATTTCCCTATCTTCTCTATCTCTTCTTCTTTTGCCTTCAGCTTCTTCATCACCATGTCTTCAACCTCTTCAATCATCTTCCTCGCATGCCTCTTCCGCTTTTCTCTTATCTCCACTCTAACTTTTTCCATCTGAGAAAAAGTTAATAAATAAATAAGTTTTCGCAAAATGACGGTTAAACTTTAATAATTTTTTTTTTAAGAAATCATCTTACAGAATAATGCAACTTCTAATAAAACTTGCTTTATATGTATAAGAAATAAATAGATAAAAACTTTTCATATGTATATAAATTTAGAATACCCAGAATTTTTTTTTTAAAAATCCACCTAATTAAATGACTAAAATGAAACTTACTCGTTGCATAATGAGTTGATCGATGGCTAGTTGTTGTTGTTGCATCTGAACAGAAATATCTTGACCGAGAAAAGAGTAGGAGTCTGAATAAAATGGTAAAGAGAAGTGGTTGATGGAATTGGAGTTGTCTATGTAACGCTTTCGCAACATGGGAACAAAATTGTTGTCGTTATTGTTGTAAGTAAGGCCACTCTCAGATTTCACGGCGGGTTTTCGCAGAAACGAATCGGCGGCAAAAGAGTTATACGGCGGCGGTGGAAGCGATGCTTCAGTTAAGGCAGTAGTGGCCGAGAATGGAAGAAGAGAAGAATAATCGATGTGGGTGTTATACAGATTGGCCTCAATGGGATTCATTATTTCCCTGCACAAATCAGCCACAAACACTTAAAAAATTGGACAATGAAGGAAATAAGAAGAAAGAGAGTGAAAGAATATCTACCGGTTGCATATGAGTTGAGAGGGGAAAGGGTTGAGTTGGTGAGCCTCAACGGCCATCTGAGTAAGAGGGGAAATGGTTTATATTTGCTTCGCTTGGTTGAGATATTCTTCTTGAGAGCTTTATATATCTATGTCACTCTATATGCGTTTTTGGCTCTTGGGAGAGAACTCGGTGAGAAGAGGATGAGGGAAAATTACAACAACTCTATGCAAGAAAATGGCATGCAAATAGAGGTGTCAAGGCTATATGGTGGGGTTTATTCAGGGTTTCCCTCTGTCCACACATTGTTATTAATATATATTATTTTATTATTATAATAATAAGTAACCAAACGTTACAGCAAAGAATTAAAAATAAAAATAAAAAAGAAAGAGTGAAGAGGGTGTTTGTTCTAGTGCTAGATCTTTTTGTAGACCAGAGAGGTAGATAGAGATTTGATGTGGCAGGTTCTTCGGCCCATTCTTAAAGGGCATTCTGGTAAAATCAATGGGCTATGTATCGTAGCCAGAGATTGGGTATGTATGCAAAGTACATTGATTACCCTTAATTTCTTTTACCCAACAATAAAAAATAAAAATATAAGAGTGCCAGGTAATACCTGCCGACTAGAGGTGCCACGTAGGCAGCGCTAGAATCCAACAAATTATGTTGAATATTTTTAATGTTAGTGTTCTTTTAATATTTTTATCTGTTCTGGTCGTAGAAGGAAGAACAACGTGATGTGGTGGTGGGCCCGAGGTGTGGGAGAAACACGTGTGTGGCAGGGTTGTGGGGGAACAGTACAAGGTGAGGATGGTGGGCACGTGCGAAGTGCCAGCGTGGAAGAGGGAGGGGGTACGGTGTACCCGGCGGAAGGGGAAGGGCTTTTTGGCAGTTTCCTTTGCTTTTTCTGAGAAAAATGTTTTTGTTTGTTTTGTTGGTTGAGTCACGGTGGTGGCATGGGAAACGTTGCTTCTGCCCTACGACCATTCTCCGCCACGTGTCCTTTTCTTTGGGTGGCTTTTATGGTCCACACCACTTGTTACGCTGCACCTATGTCATTTTGAAAAATCCTAGCCCTTGGAAATTGTAATTTTCAACGCTCTTGATTCTTCATGCTCGTTTAGATGCTTCATCACATTTATGTTTTCCTAAACATTTATTGACTATTGAAATAAGAAATGAAATTTCAAATTTCCAAAATAAGTAACTTTTTTTTTTATAATTTGTGCAATTAAAAAAATTAATAAATCTACGGAAGCATGAATTAAGGATACTGGATGATTTCAAAACTATAGTATTTCTTAAAGTTAATGGACTAGTGTTACTCAAATATTAAACACTGTTATTTTAAAAAATCTTATAATTAAATAACCAAAAGCATATCAAACGTTTGCATTAAAGATCCATTTTTAAACCAGAGAAGGTAACTGAAAAACAAATTAGTATATTAAATTGAATCCATTAGTAAAGTAATTAACTCATTCTAACCAATATGCAAACTAGACTAAACTAAATTTATCTTAAGTTATAACGAGATATTTTTTAATTGACTAAAATAAAAAAAATTGCAAAACCAGAAAATTAAAAAATAATATAAGATAAAATCAAATTTAGATCTACGTTAAAAAATTAATGTGATCATATTCATATCAAACAAACAAATATATATTATTTTTTTATGAAAATAACTTCTCATTTATACATTTATATATTTATAAATTTTAATATATAATTATTATTTTTCTTTATTAATTCTTTAAAAATTTTATTTTAATGTATTTATAAATTTTTAATTTAATTTTAGTTATTCTTGCATCTCATTTTTTATCATATAAATCTTATGTTTTATGTTAGAAATATTTTAGGCACAAAGACAAACATTATAAGCACTTCGTTTTGTAGCATAGAAATATTTTAGGTTAAATTAGTTTTTTATCTTTTAATTTTAAAATAAAATTTGATTTTATCTTTTAATTTTACAAAAAATCTAAGAAAAAAAATAATGAACAACATCGCAGAAAATACGTGTATAAAATGACAAAATATTTTAATGAAATTAGAATTTTTAACAGAAAATAATCTATTTAAAACTCTTATAAAAATTAAAAAATTAAAGTAAATAAAAAATAAAATTTAATATTAAAATTAAAAGATAAAAAACTAATTTTATCAATATTTTAAAGTAAAAAATAGTGTGAAATTGATAATAAAAATTTTATTTAATTTTTTAAAATAAATTAAAAATAAAAATATCTAGAGAAAATCATACAATTCATCAATTCAAACTACTTTTTGATGTATCAAATTGGATTAGTTTAAAAATTTCTTTTAAATAAACCCAAATTGATCCTCAATTTATTTTGAGATTAAACTGAATATTTGTTTTTACCTAAAAATCAATTCAAACTAAAATGCAAACGTCCCAAACAAAAAATCTAAATTAGAAAAAAAAACAATGGGACCAAAAAAATTATAAATTTTGAAAAAAAAATTCTTTTTGTATTATAATTATTTTGTTCAAATTTATAATGGATAGAGAGTTTTTTTTAGTTATCAATAGAAAATAAACAATGCATTGAACGTAGACGAAGGAGTTCAATTATACGACAAAATTCTAAATTCAAAGTGATAATACATATTTTTCATGCAAGAAAAGGGGAGAAAAAAAGGGTATGCATTAACTACTAATAATTAATGTTGAACTTTTGTGAAGATATCAAATTTGTCATGTGCTCGACTTTTTATCTTTTTCACTTTTTTTGAATGCGTAGGCTTTCTTCCATTGAAATTTTCTTCCAAATCTAACTTCTAGTAAGGTCTAATTAATTCGAGATGCCAAGAGCTGATATAATGCATTCTCTAAATCTAACACTTTGTCCACATCCACCAATTCATGGCAAGAATTTCGATGTTGTGGATAGACATGGATGTGTTGAATCCATTATTGTTTAGCTAGCCTCCATCCATGGTTGCGTATAATATGTTACCACTTTTCCATGAAAGTTGCTTGTCATATATCGTGTACTCTATCCAGTGATTATTTTACTACCTATGTTTCTTTTCAAGATGTTAATATCTATAATACAAGTTAAAATATTTTTTACTTACTAATCATATTTGAAAATTCAAATTTTATGATCAAAATATCAACGTATGATTATTTGGCTATTGATTCTCTCCATTACGTATCATTAAGACTTGCCAAGCCAAATACAAATTTCAAATTAAATTGAGCCAAAATTGACACATATGAGTGCAGTGGTTCAAACTTTGAACAAACTTAGCCCCTAAGGTTTGGCTAGAAAGGAAAGAAGTAGCCCATTATTCTCCAAAGTCTTTATAGAACAATTTGTGGGAACAACTGAAAGATATAGACGACATTTTAAACATTTTTAATGAAATATTTTATATGGTATGATGCATGCGTGTGTCTTTTATTCAAAGTATACAATTTTCGGAAGTAATTTATGTCATTAATGTTTGAATAAACTTGCTAATTTCTTTTGCTTATAAATTGTGCTTAAAATCACGTCAATCTTTCACCTTACCATCAATATGAACGCAGAGCATCATACACTAACGTGTAACATAATAACTCTAGAAATAAATTTTAGATCCTTCTTAATAAATTAGCAGTATAACCTCAATTATTTAATGGTAAACATTTTTATATTTTTAAAAGAATACATTTAACACCCTAAACAAGAAACGTAAATACACAGTAAATATATAATAAAATTTTTAAAGTAAAAAATCTACCATGTACCGTGATAAAAAAAAAAAAAGTCAACAAATCACTTTTATTGAAATCAATTGATTATTTCTCTCCATATGATTTTTTAGGCGAATCTCAATATGATATTTAAATTCACATTGTGACCACTTTAGGAGAGATCTTGCTTCAAATTATTTAATTAGCACACATATGTTGGTGCCATTTCAGTAAGTAAACATATCCCAGTTTGTTTCATTTAAGAAAATTAATTTTTATTGTTATTAATTATAAAAATGTTACTTTTTTAACTTTATTAATTTTTTAAAACTGTACTTATGCAATAATAAAAAACATTGTAATATTTTCAGAATTTATCATACAAATTATTAAAAAGTAAAAAAAAAATTGATATTTTCATATTGAATAATAAATTAAAATATAAAAAACAATTTTCTCATTGGACATTATCATTACAACGAGACATGGAGGTGTGGTTTGTCTAAAATAGTGATCTGCATATGCTCTTATTATGATTATTATTTGTTATTATGGGTGACACAAGGACAAGGAGGGCTGCAATGATATTCAATTAACACAATGAGCTCAAACAAAATAAGACCATACGACGTTGTTGTAGATTTTTCACTAAACATTTTATATTTTTTTACCTATCCAATCTCTTGGACATGCTAGCTTGCTTTTAGGAGACAAAAAATAAAATAAAAATATTTGAGCGTCTTATGCAATTGGCAATCAAGGGAGTGTCGCTAAATTTAATTCCCAAATCAAAATTAATTGATCCAATGAAAATTAAAAAAATTACAAAGCAAAACTAATTAAAGGTGCTAACTAAGGATTTCCCAAGTTGGTTTAGTTTTCATGCAAATTATTATTATCAACCTACTGATGAATTGAGGAGTCTTAACCTTATAATAACATGACATAATTAAATATGATTAACATGCAGTCACATTAGATTAATTCAATAAATAATTAAGTTTATCATAAAGTAAAGTAAGCTGCGTGAGGCAAGCATGCCGTACAGACAGGGAAACAATGCATTGTTCATGTATGGCAAATTGGCTTATTTTTTGTAGTCCTCGATATTCCCTTAATGTGACTTTAAATTTAGCTTTAATGTTAGATTAGAAAAGGGTATATTAAAAAGCTGGAGACATTAATTTGGTTATATTATTATGAATTATGGAAATGAATGGGGCGTGATCATCAAGTAACATGAATTATTACATCAGGATCTTGGCAGAAAGAAGAAATTATTATTGCATATGGAGGGCCACCTTTTTCCATGATTTAAATTTTATAACCTTTTTTTCCCTTCAAGTATGGCCCTTGGCATTAATAAGACGGAAAGTAAGAGAACATTCAAATTAACCCAATTAATTAGCCAAAGAATATGAGGTTTAAACAATTGCCAACCTTATCAAGCTTCTTGAAAAAGTGTGATGAGTTAGACAGATAAAGGAGTCCTTGCAAGATGAGTAGATGAGAAGTAGCTGCTAGATTGATTCCACCTTGTCAACTCTCTTCATATTTCTCTTTCACCCTTAGCTCCATTATTGCTCATATATACTCCCAACCATATTGACACTACTTTATTTGTTAACCACCAACGAAATGAATATGAAAAAGAAGAAAAAATAAGTAATCAAAAGTTGGGAG